TGGGGCTGGTACGAGTTTGGAGGCGAGGAGCGGTGAGGGGAGGGGGAGGCGGGCGGGGGTTTAGGGGGAGTGGAATATAGGGTGTATCGCTATCTGAGTGATGGCTTCGCTGGCCACGTGTTTGGCGGGTAGGGATGGGTAGAAGTGGAGAGTGGCTTGGATCGTTGGGTAGAGATGGGTAGAAAAGATGGGGTGGGAGCGGGGAGGCGGGGGTACGGTAAGAGGAGGGAGTGGCGACGGGGTGTGGTATGGAGCCGGATGGAGCCGGTCACCAACTTAGGGTCTGTTCTTGGGCTGCTTGTAGGAGTTCCTTGGCGGGATCTCCTTGGCTCCAGTTCTGCTTGACGATTCGCCGGTATGCACTCCAGCTGTGAGGCGATGGGGTGGTTTCCGTTGAAGGTGGGCCGGTTCAGGATTGGTAGCCGAAATGGGTGGGCCAACTGTTTCTCCGTGAAGGTCAAACTGTTTCTCCGTGAAGGTAGATCCTTGTGATGGCGCGCTCCGCGCAGTCTTTGCAGGACGTCGGCTTACCTCTGGAGGAGGGTAGAGCCCTACCGATGGGGTCGTGCTGGGCGACGAGCGGCTGACCTTGGCGAAGTTGAGAGATGGTGAGCTTATCGCTTTGTTGACGTCTTGTGGTGGTGGGTTCCTTCTTCGTTCGAACTCAAGGGTCAAGATCGAGATGAGTGACCGGCGGGTGGGCAGTCTCCAGTTCAAGTCCAACTGCTCCCTTCTCGCGGTGGTGGCGCGTGCACAGGGCATGCACGTTGACAGGTCTTCTCCCCTCGGGGCGATGGCGGGCGTTGTGTTCTACTTTGAAAGTTCAAAGTTGGGTGGGCGCGGTGCGCGGGCTGCTGGGCGGGAGAGTGGTTGGGGCGGGTTGCGGTTGGTGCTGGCCCGTAGAGTTGGCGCCTGTTCTCAAATTCCTCCACTGGCATTTTCGGATTTCGATACTTGGCGCCATCCGGCACTCTGGCGCCCAGATGCAGACCTGTGATCTGTGATCCTCAGTTCAGTCCTGAGGCAGGCCGCACCTCGGCCCTCCGGACTGAGCCTGAGTACGGTACTTAAGTCTGGACTCGAGCCCCGTTGAGGCATTCAGGCTTTGTCCTCAGTGCTTGTGCTTCAGTGTGACTTGCCGCGACTTTGTGTTCGGAATCCAAGATTGCGACTTTGTGATTTTGAGACTTCGTCACTCCGTGTCTGCGTCCGTCGTGTCAAGTCGAGTCTGTGTCCGAGTCGAGTGAGTGTGTGTGTGTGCTCTCACTCTCTCCCTCTCTCTCTCTTTCCCGTGACCTCTCTGCTCTGCCTCGGTCTCGTCAGAAACTCAGTTAGGACAGTTGGTATAACGATTCATGTTATTAAGGAATCGGTTAATAGTAATGGATTAGAAAAGGGTTGGGGGGTGGGGAAAGTCGTTTTGTTTGGGAAGTTGTAGTGAACTGTAATTGCCAAAGTCTGTCAGTAAATGTTATGCTCTACTGAACGATGATGGTTTTGCTAGGATAGTCACTCTCACAAAGTATCATCTTGTGTGAGCACCTGGGAACTCTTGTGCATGCTCAGCACGCTCCTGGGCGCATTCAGCTATGTGAACGTTTATGACAGACGGAAAACTGGATGCACATACTGCTAGATCTCACCTCGGCGTGGTGAATCACAGCTCGGTCACTGTGGCTTGGATTATGCACTTTGGACTCGAAGACTGATTTGTGGGATGCAATGTTGCACTGTTTTTGCAGGTTCGGATTGTGCAAGGGAAAGAGCCGCACCAGTTCATCTCCCTGTTTAGGGGAAACATGATTGTTTTCAAGGTGAGGTTTGCCTCAAAAGTTTTGTTAGCGCAGGCTTGTGACAATCTTTGTGTGCAACGTGAATGCAGGAGTTGTAGAATTTTTTTCTCTGAAGTTCTTCACATGCTGCAGAATTTGCCTGTGTATGGCTCATATGACCCGTATGTCATTTGTTTGGCCATCAGCTTAGGACTGGTCTGTTATATATGTTGTCTACGTTCACTCTGCTATCATCCATTTCGGCTCCTTGAACAGGTGGAAGAGCACGCCGAAGAACCTTTCTGAGATTCAATTGTAACCTTGGAGCTGGAAGTTCATGAGTCTACCATCCACCGTTTAGTACATTGGTTAACATTTAGCCCAGAGTCACAACATGTGGGTGGACTTGTCAATGTCTGTCTCCAAGTCACAGTCCATCTCACACTGGTTAAGGGCCTATGTGGTGCCACACATGACATCATGGCAATGAGACTCCGTGGAGGGAGAGCTTGTGCTTGATTTCTGGCTTAACTAACACAACTGGAACAACGTGGCAGGGTGTGCTGCCGATGCTCTGCACCCTCCCCCCTGTGGGGGTACTTCATTGTCCTACGGGTTTCCAGTTCAAGACAATTGGTTTCCTTTGCATCGTGTTTGTGTAGCGCTTAGACTCTGCACATTCCTTGACTGCTTTGGATGTTGCAGTGACACAGTCCTGTGTGTCGATGCCTTGTCATTGCTGCAGTGTTGCATGTCTGCTTTGTGTGGTAGCTGAGTGGTATGTCTCAAATTGCACTCACAACCTGTGTGGATGGCGTGCAGTGCAACTGCTGTTTGATGTTCTTGTCCACTGCTGCGTTTTGTTTTCAAATCTTGTTTGCGTACGGAACGTAGACAAGACACACCTCTAGCCTTTTTCCAGATATCTGCAATTTTTTAACTGGCATCAGATCAGATGTGAAGCATCTGCTGAGCACAGTGCAAGGTCAGGAAATCAATACGCGAGCTACACGTGAGATTGATTCCGGACAATGAAGAGTCCGAAGGTGCAAAGTGAAGCTGTTTGTCAGCTTCTGGGGGGCGAGTTGCATGATGGGAAACTGTCATGTGTGGTTCAGGGCTGGCGTTCTACGCTGACCCCTATCCTACATCATGATATCATGATATTTTTTTCTTGATGGTGATTCAAACCTTCGTGTTATGTCCAGCAATGCTGGTTGGTTGAATCTCGTGTATCAAGCCAAAAGCAGAACTCGTTACACGAGCCATCTGAGCCGGTAACAACCAACAATCACTGTGGTAGCTCATGTTATTTAATCTGGCGGTATAGTGATGTGCATGCCCCTCGTTGCAGTTTTCAGCTTAAGTGCACAAAGATGGCTTGGTTGTGAGTTACAGCAGTGAAGGAATTCCAACGGGTGTTGGAAATAAAAAGTATAATGGAGTGAGGCCGTTTTAGACAGTGTCAGGTTAATGATGTCAAGGGAAGTGTTTTGTTCTGTAATTTATTTTCATTTCTGGTGGCATCTGATTGAAACGGCATTTAGAGTTTAGTATCATACCTGTATCTGAGGTGACAGTGCATTGAATGAATGCAAGTCGTGGAGAGTTTGTGAAGATATGAATTTTGGTATGATGAAGAAAAGTTTTTTTCCCACAGAGAAGGGTTTGAGATGGAGTTTGGTTGATGCCTCAGCATTGCTTGAACAATCTGCTACATGTATGTTTCAAGCGAAGTTTGGCAACTTGGCATATAGCACAAAAGGAATTCGTCTGTTGCTCGTGCAGAAAGCAGTTTCTAACTTTCTGAAGTTTCTGTACCATTTTTCTTTTTTTCGAGTATGCCGGGGGAAGAAAGGTAATGGCTCTCTTTCCTCGTTCAGATTTTTTAGCTGGTGGCCTCCGGACGAGTCCGGTAGGCCTGTGAAAATTTCACGGAAGCTGCTTTGCGTTTGCTCAGCCCATGGTATTCTTTCTTTAGTGAAAAGCGAAAGAACAGTACGCCCATTGAGCTGGGCATGCAGCTGTTAGTTGCTTTGCGTTTGCTCAGCCCATGGTATCCTTTCTTTAGTAAAAAGTGAAAGAACAGTGCGCCCATTGAGCTGGGCATGCAGCTGTTTCTATACCAGTTTTCTGATGGTATGGTTTTACCAGATTCCTAGGTGCACTACGAGGCGTTAAGGGCAGTGGTTCGTACATTAGATAGACGTTTTTGCAGTGCTAATCCACTACTACATTCCATACATTGGCCGCGGGCCCCTTTCGTAGGTCGAAACGCGATGTCAGCCCCTGATGTATTTTATTGACGGCGCGCAGGCTCCAACTTCTTTGGAGTAGGTGACAAACAATTCTCCACAAGGCTGGGGCATTCACTAGTAGTTTAAGCCACCCTTTTGTGGTGGGTGATTTTTTCCTGAGAAAACTGTTTAATTTCTTGACCAACCAAAATGGCTGGAGGGATGCCAGCACATGGAACGGGAGGCCGCCCCATTTATGGCTGCAAACTTCAGAATGGGGGTTGCTGCAAAGTGGTGGTTAGCGCCTTTTATTAGGTTCCTTTCTCTGAGTTGTTGAGGTAGAGTTTTACATTCAGCATGACTTCTTTCCATAGCACTGTTGGCATTCAGGCGAGAATGATTCTTTCCTGCAAGATCTCTGCAGCAGTTACCGCTACTGTACAATGGTCTTAAGACCCTGGCCCAAAAAATGGCGCTCAGTCATAGGAGGGAGGGTAGGATCAAGGCTTGTAAATCCGGCCATCACATGTCTGTCATCCACTTGAGGTTCTCGGTATGATGCACACGTACAGCTTTCGCACTATGGGGCAATGTCATTCCTCCTCTTCTGATGCAGAGGTAGAATCCTGTACTGTGCAGAGGTTCTCTCTTCATCTTTTTTGCAGCTGCTCCCTCTCATCACCATCTTATTTTTCCGCCACAAGGGTCAAGCTCAGTTGTTCTCTTGCCAATTGGTCATGTGCTGGGAGAGCGAGCCTTTATAAGGGCAATACCTGGGCACTATTTCACCGACTGATCAATTTCCCCGGCACTATTTCCCACTGACAGACTCGAGGCTGCAAGAAACTGAAGCGAGCTCGCTTGAAACCTGTCCCCTTTGTGGAGAGCTCGGTTTGTTGGGGCTCTCTCTTAGCTGCATACATCTTGATTGTGTCCGTGACTCAGGAAATTCACAACCTCTCTCGAGCCTGGTCAGGAATTTGAATGCGGAGTGGAGCATTTTTTCATTTAGAGGCCTCACTAAGGCCGAAATTAGGTTCGGTCCTCTTTTGACTGCCAAGCATGTTTCCACTTTGACTGCATGTTTCGCATAACTCGTCCCTTCTTGTATCGGAATCTGAGCTGTGACACTCGCAAAATAGACTTGCATCAGATTGTAATGGATAGAATATACTGTATACTCTTTGAGTGATCCTCGAATGTGGTTTTCAAATACTCTTTGTAAAGTGGTTGCTTGACTATAGTGGCCAGATACTCCCACACTTGCTATGCGAATATATGCCTGCTTATTTGGACTTCCAATTTCCTTGGCTGGCACAGGGTGGGTTGAGTAGTAGCTACAAAGAGCAAGTTGGTGGATCGAGTGGAGGAGCAAGTACAGCGTACTCGTCTGACACACTTGCTCTCTTCCAAGTAAGAGGCACGACTGCAGAGAGCACGCGCGTTGTTCAAGTAGATCCAGTAAGTACATCATCTCCAACATTTCCCTTTAGGTGTGGAAGCAATACATGTATAGCAGTAATTGTGCTTGCCTTCCTGATGTTAACGACAGAGCATTATATTGTTTTCAAGGGGCATAAGTTGCCCTCTGCCTCATAACAAAAAGAGCTTTCAAGGGATGTGCTTATTTTGTTTGATCTGGTCCCTTTTTGGTGGGGATTTGAATACATGCTGTCGAGTGAAATGGGGGAGGGGGCTTCCTGGACAAGGCGAGGGTCACACCCTCAGAGGCCACGTGTAATACTCCAACTGGCTGATAACGGGCTTGGCATGTGCTGACCTCCCAAACCGCAAGTGGAGTCTTTTTGACTGACATAATGTGGCATTTAAAAAAAAAAGAAACGAAAAAAAAAAACAAAGGGGATTGATGTACAATCTTTTTTTTCTTCCTTCCCCCCCCTACCCCCCCCCACAGGCCCCTTCTATTCTGGGGGACTCCAGTCTGGTTGCTTATCCCTGGCAAGCATATTTGTATTGGATTCGAACTTGGGTCTGGAAATACATATAAAGGTGTACCAACTGATCTATGCCCATTGGTAGGTGGTCGTCTCTTTCATGTATGCAAGGGTAAGGGTTTGGAAGTGCAGAGAGCATGCTTCTTCAAAGGGATGCTCAAGGCCATGCTCTCTGCTCTTTCTAGGTGGTCGGTTTTTTCATGTATGCAAGGGCAAGGGTTGTTTGAAAGTGCAGAGAGCATGCTCCTTCAAAGGGAGCTTAATGCCAGGTCCTCTGCTCTTCCGAACAACACTTGTGTAATGAACCCAATTTAACAAGATAATTTTGCTGCCTTTGCGAGACTTTTTGTCCTCGGCAAACACAGGCTCCCGCTGCAAGTCTTGTGCCTGCCCCAAGTGAATGGATGTCACCAGACAGTCACAGGGCACCAGTTGGTTACGGGGTCGAGCATTGCAGTGTGACCATGCCCTTGTGAGCCTTCTAGCCTCTTCCATGCAGTGACGTGTAAGCTGGCCTTTTGGCCAATCAGGACACAGCGAGTGACAGAGGCGATGGTGCGCAGTTTGCCGCGCTCAACTGTTTCGGTCTTAGGTCGGTATCTGAATCGGGCCTGGGCGTACACACTTTGGCCCAGCGTGAAGCTACTGGGCACATGGTCGCCAGGCCCATGCAGCCTACCGGAGGCGAGCACTTCCCATATAAGAAAGTGCCTACCTCCAGGGCTTTCATTTGGGCACTTCGAGCAATCGCTGCATCGCTGCCATTCTGGGCGCTCACATGGTGCTGAGAGATGAGGGCCTGGGTGCACGAGGGCGCAGGTGCTGAGCGTAGTGCAGAGCCCAGCAGCCATAGACAGGCTGGGACTCAGGAAGTTCAGCGCGGTTGGTGGTGGTCTTCGGGTGGAAGACAAGGTGTGGGTGGTGAGCGGAGGGAGAGAGGGGATTTACCTACGGTAGTTCGTCGTGGATGTCTGCTGCCGAGGTCTTCCTGTTGCGCGGCCATTAGTGTAGGCTAGTGTAAAAGCTGTGTGATAGTGTAAAAGCTGTGTGATAGTAGTCTGGGCGCCGAGCGCCGATGAGGTGAAGAGACATTGGACACATTGTTGATGGTGGCAATATGAGGGCTGTCGTTGACAACTGAGTTCATTGCTATGGTCTCCTTTGGTGTGTGATTCAGTGCATTCTTCTTTCTGTACAGCTCATGACTCTCTGGCTTTGAATGTGATGTTGTAATTTGGAATTCTGTCATTTCGCTCTCGCTTATTTTCCTTGCACCTTACTTTCTAAGTTTCTAGGGGAGTCCACTATATGTGGGAAACTCGAATGGATAGAGTGAAATTCAATGAATTCAACTTCTAGATAGTAGATAGTACATTAAATTAATTAAACTAAATTTGAAACTTTTTTGATTGCAATCCTCAGGAAACCAAAACAAATTTTCATTTGTCAGTGGGATCCTCGAAGACTTTACGTGGAGTTACTACTAATTAATAAAAAGAACATAAATGACCAATGACTTAGAGATGAGCATTTACATGAGAAGCTCAACCGTATGATAACGAGTATATCTCGAGAGCAAAGAGAGACTACTACGTCAAGAAGAAGATCAAAAGCATGGCAGTATCTTAAGAATATTAAGTATTATTAACAATGAATACAATGCTCAGACTGCTTCTTCCTCTTCTTCCACCGGATCTCTTTTCATCGTCTCTATATATCTAGTGTCTTTTATCTCTCCACTCTACCATCACCGTTCTAGACACGTCTCTTGCCAAGTCAACATCTCTATAGCATGGGCCTACCCCAAGCTAGCGCAACGAAGCTGGAACTCAAAATGACAACATCCATCTTCTGCGGCAGCATGAAGCCTTCTTCCTGGAAATCACGACCACATTTCCTCCCTGAGGCTATGGTGACCTTCACACTCGTCCCCTGACCTCACGAGCACAAGTGACACACTTTCTGTAGCACAAGCACCAACAGAATGAAGTACTGGATGATGAAGGCTGGCCAGACTGCTGACTTTCCTTGATCTATCATTTGAGTCCACAGGCCTTGGACATCTCAAATTGACCCTTGACCCTAGGCCTACTACGGCCTTTCTGTTGCCCTTCAGAGGCAGCAAAGCGACTTTTGGACACTGGAACTTTGACCTGGCCAGATGTTATGGCACGTATCCTCTTCACCAGAATAAAACAAACACCTTGTCATTATCGCTGCATCTGGTCCGAAAGTTGCACCAAATACAGCTTATTGACCGGGCGTTCTGCTCGGATGAAGACGGTAGTCATGCCGGTATGGATTTCATATTGTAGACTTTTATCAGTCTGTAGGATCAACTGTTGAACCCTGAACTTTGCTAGGTCAAAAGCTGCGACCCGTAGACTTTGCACCTCTGGTTCTACCCCATCCCTCGACTCTGTAGGGGTCTGCATACAAAAGGTGTTTGACTGAGAGATGTGGACTCTACCATATTCTTTACGACTAGTAGCCATTCTGACAGACTCTGGGAATGTACAGGCCTGTTTCTCCTGCCCAGTCTGGTGCACGTTTCTTTGCTGTGCAAGGAATATGAGCGAGAGCGATGGAGAGAAATCCAAATTGCAAAGTCACGCTGTAGTCCAGATAGTCATGTACCAAGCAGAAAGCACAATACATCAGGCTGCCGTCCAAACAAGAGCAATACAGTGAACTCAGGTGTCAATGTTGACACTCTCGTCACACCAACATGGTATCCGATGTTGCTCTTCCAGAATGGAGCTCACCGCCCAGCCTAGTCTACTCAGCCTACCTGTCCTATCTAAATTCGTGCAACAGGATCACTTCGAAGTGGAAAACCAATGTAGGTGAGGCCGTCTTTAATGTAGACTGCCATCACAGGTATGTCTCTCTCCTCTCCTCGTCACCCCGACTCCCCACAGCACATGTACCTTACCTGAAGACCACAGTCACCATCACCCGCCTTATGCCCCAGCAGCTCGGCCGTGGCTGCCATGCGTCCGCTGCCACCACAGCGCCCCTCTCACCTCTTAGCGCCCGCTTGCACCCTGGCCAGCTAGCACGCGTCGATACAGCAGTGTGGCCGCAATACCCGACTAGGCCAGAATACCTCCAGCTGGTCAGGGCGCTTTCCTATTACGAAAGTGCAGCCCTGCATCCAGATGCTGGGGCCCGGCGTGTGTGTGCCCAGTGGCTTAAAGTTGGCCCGAAGTGTCTGCGACCAGGCCTTTAAGACAGTTTCCTGGGCCTGCAGCTTCGAGGTGCACCCAACCACCCCACGTAACTTGTGATGTGTTTCCTGCTTTCTGATAGGCCGAGAGGCCTGCTTCCAAGTCGAAGCTTCCGAGAGGTTGGAAGCTTTCTCAAAGATTTCGATTCTCAAGAGCAGGGCAGTTGCAATCAACAATGCGTAAAAAAGGCGTATGTCGGGGCCCCATTTCAAATTCAGGCCCGCCTTCACTTAGGGTGGGCATGCTTGTTGCTTGTCGATGGGGGGGGGTGGGGGGGGGGGGCTTGGGCATTTTGGAGGCTGCAACCTTGCGACCATTTGCGGGGGCAAAGTCCTCGCATTAAGTCCTTGCATTCCATCCCCCTTGGCTTTGAAAGTCTGCTGAGATGCTTCTACGCAGGTTTTTTCCCCTTTAATCTTCGTTCATACTTTGTGACAATCTGAGGTGCTGCCTTAATCAATTCCTCTTTCGTGAACCAGCGGTCTTCATTGGGATCCGAATGATGCCTGAATCTGACCCCGTACTTCCGTGCAGGTTTCGGCGGTCTTCCTCTGCCAACTGGCTTAGGAACGCAAAGATCCACAATGTTGTCAATGTCTACGTGGCCATCCATGGTTGGGGGCGGCATTGATCTCCTTGATGGGAATTTCTGTGTCAGCGAAAAGTGCAAGCTTGGAAGCGTGAAACACAGGGTATGTGTGCCGGCGAGCAGGGATTCTAATAACATAGGAGGTACCATCCGCATCACTACCCACAATGTCCAAGACTTCCGAGGGACCAAAAGTACTGAGGCATTAGCTTTCTTGAGATGCTAAATTCCTGTCGTAGCTTGCTAGCCTTTACCCAGACATGTTCCCCCACCTGAGGGCTGTCGTCTGTGTTTGTTCTTAGAGGCAATCATTACCTCTTGAGATTTCTTAATGTGTTTGACAACCTGCTGCAACAGCTTCTCATACTGGACACCAAACTCTTCCAGGGGTTGCAGCTGGTTGGTTTTCGCAATGGAGGAAGTCTAGTGAAGATCTAGGCTTCCACCCCAAATGCAGTTCATTCGGGCTGATGCCGGTGGTGCTGTGAACAGCGTTGTTATAGAGGCTGGCGATGAGAGGCAATTTCTCATGTGAAGCGTCCCGGCTGGGCTTGATGTAGTGCCTCAGCAGGTGCTGCACCATGCGATTTATCTGTGTCGCTCGACCGTTGGCTCCGGGGTGATTCCCCGAGGTCATTTGGAATTGGCTGCCCATCTGTTCAGCAGCCTTTTTCCACATTTCACTGG